CTAATTGATCCAGTAATGGCTTTAAGTCAATGAACAATCCTCAGTCCTAGAAGCTCATGCTCCTTTCAACCCTTACATCTCCTGGTGGCATCCTTTCCATTTGTGCCCAGGCTGAGTGGAGCCAGCTTCTTTTGCTTTCCTCCCTCTGCTCATAGGACTGCCAACCTTTCCTTCTCTTTATGTTTCAAATAATGTTGCTACTTAATTTGTCTAAAGCTCGGTTACAAATTTGTGCTTTCCACAAAGTTTCCATGGACCCACAAGAATGTGGGAGCAAACAACCCCAACATTTTCCTCATTACTGTATCATTTAAAGCTGCAATATAAATATAACATATTGGGGGGGGGGAAAGGAGGCCACATAAGTGTCAAAAGAAATAATTTGGGAAGTGAGGATTGATGGCATCTATGTAGGCCAGACATGTCAAACACAAGCCCCGGGGGATGGATGCGGCCTGCGAAGTGGTTTCATGTGGCCCACAAAGCCATCCTGGAAACAGTGAGGGAACGGCCCCCTCTGCCTTGGCCCTGGCCCAGGCCAGCCGGGAGCCAATGTACAATTTTGTGGTGGCCATCTATGCTGAAACATACTCAGTCTTAGCTCCATAAGCCCCCCCCCCACCGCATGGCCTGAGAGGAACAGTGAGGCTCCTCCAGTGGACCATGCCTTGGCACTTGCCCTGGTCCCACCCCCTTCTGCCAGAGACCCTCAGATCTGTCCCACTCCTGCCCAGGCCCCCACAGGCACCCTTGACGCGAACAATGTAGAGCTGGCCACACCCACCCATAGGCTGCACCCACCCTGGCCATACCCACCCGGCGCCCTGAGGGCAACCACAATGCTGATGCGGCCCTCAATGAAATTGAGTTTGACACCCCTGATGTAGGCAAACAACTGGGAAAGCAAATGCAAGGCATAGGAAATAATGGAAAGAAAGGCAGCCACTGATAGATACAGTGACATCTGCCTTTCCTTCCTGGGTGGAAGGGTAAGAAGCAGGAAATGATCAGCCAGGTCTTGCAGTGGCTGTCCGATACCCTATATTCTTTTGCTCTGAAGTCTTTTTACAGGTAGACCTCTCTTAACGACTGTCCTACTGAGTGTTCAAAGTTACAATGGTGCTGAAAAAGTAACTTTATACCACTCCTTGCATTTATGACCATCAAAACATCTTCATAGTTACGTGATTGCCATTTGTGCACTTCACAACTGATTTCCAACAAGCAGAATCAATGGAAAAGCTGGCAATAAAATTGCAAGTCCTGGTCATGTGATACCTTGCTTAATGATCTCTGGTGGCCCGATTAATGACCAAGTGGAAAGTGATGTCATCAGCTGCAATCACTTGAGGTTTCACTTGGCAATTGCATCACTTAGCAATTGAGTTGCTGGCCCCAGTTATGGTCATTAAGCGAGGACTACCTATACTCACCATTAAGGTGAGTGAAGCAATGTCCATCAACAGGGGACTCTAAGGGGCAGCAACAAGGCGTGGGAGAACAAAAGCAAAGTTCTATATAGTGGCCTTCACAGGACTTGGTTCACTGACTCAAGGAAGGTGTAGTTATGATGAGAAGACCATAACAATGTCAAGAATTTCTAAATTCCAGAGTCCCCATGCAGTAAATAGGATTGAGGATTTCGCCAACCTCCTCTCCTTGTTTCTGAAATAGAAATTATATCCTAGAGTGGCCTTAAAAACAGTTTCTAAAAACTCAGCCATCATTTCCCTTGTTACCATCCTGCAAATACACAAGGCAGGTGAGGAGAAAGTGGGGTAAAAATGTTAGAGGTGAGTAAGCCTTCCTCCATGTTGCTACTGATCCAAATCTAACCATCACCATTTTGTTTTTGCATGTGCCAAAAATAGGAAGGAACTGACTCAAGACATGATAACTGCAATCCAAGCCATCCAGTGACCACTCTTTCCTACAGAGATTTTTAAAATGTTAATTATCCATTATATACATTGCAGATCTGCCAGGAGTATGTTAGTAAGTTTGCCCTTGGGAAGAGGCTGGCTCAGTGGCATTATAAGATGACCAGCTTAATGTGTGGAAGGTGCTGCCAGTTAACAATCCTGAAAGGAAAAAAATAAATAAATTTCAGCATCCACTGAGTTTTCAAAAGCTGTTAAACTTCACAGTCCTTTCCTTCACAAAGTAACAAACAAAAGGAAGGAAATCTGTCTTTCACTTGAACTCCCCTGCGGAACATCCGCTTGGAAAGTGAACAGAAATTCCGACCTGTCACACCTTCCTTCCTCAGAACAAACACACACACAGAAGCACGCACACACACACACAGAGTCCGCTTCCTCAGAAGGCTTCTTTCAAAGGGCAGCCAGTCCAAGACCATGTCAGTCGCTCATTCACTTTGGCTCTGCAAAGATGAGGAAGGGGCTTGTTGGTCAGGACTGTAGTCCCGGCCATTTGGTGACCACTCTTTGGATACCTAAGGGGCACGATCCCAATTCTGCTTTGCCTCCAGTGGTTCTCGGAAAAGAAAGTTGTCCTCAAAATCCTTGCACTCCGTGAAAGAGGAAAGTAACTAGTCCCTGAATTCAATTTCACCTTTAAACTCTGATAACAGAAAGGGGAGGACCTGTCCCTAAACCAACTCCTGTAAGCACTACAAATCCTGCAAAGTTTTGTGGGTTATTTGTTCCTTTTTCTCTTAATCTCCCTTTTTCTCTTCAATGTACTCGACCACAGCCTGGATTGGGGCAGTACGTCAAAGATTCTCAGTCATCCAAGTAGAGTTGTCTGGAAGTTGAGTCATGGCAACTGGGCTTCTTTTGGTGTTGGTTCGAAATGTTTTGCTGCTTATTTAGCAATTTATATAAGCAGATATGCAGCGAAATGTTTGGAACCCACAAACACGAACACAAAAGAAGCGAAATGTTTGGAACCCACAAACACGCACACAAAAGAAGCCCAATTGCCATGACTCAACTTCCAGATTCTATCAGATGACATAACAGCAATGTTCCAATATCTCAGGGGCTGCCACAAGGAAGAGGGGGTCAAGCTATTCTCCAAAGCACCTGAAGGCAGGACAAGAAGCAACGGATGGAAACTAATCAAAGAGAGAAGCAACCTAGAACTAAGAAGAAATTTCCCGCCAGAACAATTAACCAGTGGAACGACTTGCCACCAGAAGTTGAGGTTGTTCCAATACTGGACGTTTTTAAGAAGAGATTGGACAACCATTTCCTGCCTGAGCAGGTTAGACTAGATCAGGGGTAGGCAACCTTGGCTCTTTTATGACTCGTGGACTTCAACTCCCAGAATTCCTGAGCCAGCCATGCTGGCTCAGGAATTCTGGGAGTTGAAGTCCACGAGTCATAAAAGAGCCAAGGTTGCCTACCCCTGGACTAGATGATCTCCAAGGTCCCTTCCAACTCTATTATTCTGTTCTGTTTTGTTCAGCCGCTTCAGCGGGGAGGACAAACGAGGAGGCTCCCCGAACACCCGAAGTCCCGCATGTTCAGTCTTACCTTGCCGTATTTCTTAAGTCTCCTCTTGCGCGCCTTACTTGCGCGCTCCGTTTTCCGTGGCGGCGGCGGCGGCTGCTCGCCGTCCCAAGCGAGAGGCTGGTACTTGTCCGGGAGGGCGGCAAACGCCACTGTTTTGGAGGCGCAGCCAACCTCTTCTTCAGGGTGGTCCTCGGGAGCCCTCGGGGCCTCTACTTCCCGCTGTTCCGCCCGCTCGAGGATGGAGACCTTGTCCTCCGCGGGGCTGCGCCGCCGGCGGAATTTGGCCCTTAGAGCGCCCGCCGTGGGCATCGCGCCGGCGGCGAAAGGCAGGGACGCTTTCGAAGTCTTCCCTCCGTGACCCCCACGCGTCCCCCCGAAACAGGCCGCTGAATTTCCCTTCGCAGCTGAGCCCGACAACAGGTGGAGGAGCTCCAGGAGACAGACGAGAGCGAATCTCTGTCGGGTCCCACCGCAGGAGACGGGGAGTGGTGGATCAGGGAGCGCCCTTCCTTACTCCGGGCAGGGATTTTGCCAGCGCCTCTCCAGAGTTCAACGTCCAGCCACGCGTTGCATTGTTGACACTGCCAGCCAGCGCAACCTTGGACGCTCCTCCGGGCTTCCAGCGCCTGACCGTGCGCAGGAATCCAGCGCTGGGACTTTTATGATCAGGCCAGGAAGGAAAGGCCGGGTCTTTTTTTAAAAAAAAAGGCAGAATGTCCGCTAGCTGAAACTTTTTTCATCGGATACTAAAGGGATTTGCTTTGGAGTAGGAAGAGTTGTGGTTCCAGTTGCCCTACTACTCCCCCCCCCGTTGTTTTTAAACCTCTGACTATGTAATCTGGTTTCAACTTTGTAATAGTAAAACTAGAATGAACAAGACTAGGTAATTAAAAGTTAAGAAACCACTTTAGACTTATCTGTAGTTATAAAGGCCCACTTGAAAATAAAGAAGCCAGTTTCTCGGTGCAGTTCAGAAACAAGAGAAGTGAAGTTCTTATGTCTGGTATACCTTCCCAGGTGATCATGAAAACCCCAATTCACAAAGTATTAGGTTGACTTAACAATGAGAATTTAGAAATATTTAATGGCTTATTCTGCAGAAGCTGCTTTGAGGGTCCATTTTCAGTCAAGGTGGCTATGGAGCCAAATCATGAAATACAGTGCCACAATTACTATTTCCTTGCTATTTCTCCTCAGTTAGCTTTATCTCTTCTAAGTATCTGCGGTGTATGTAAATTGTATATATTTTGCTACCGGTATGTCTTCTCGCCTCTAATAAGTAACTTTATTGATCTCATCAAAACAAAATAAAACCCAGTTATTATTTAAAATATGAAGAACTTCATGAGTGACTATTAATATGTCCTCTTGATTTTCTGGCAGCAATATGGAAGTACTGAAATGTTTTATTTCTTAAGTACCAGATAAGCTCTGGTACTTTATTTATTGGAAAATGTATTAAATGAAAGCAATAAAATAGTTTGTTTTTGTTCAACATTTTCACCTGTCCAGTTTAACCTACATTTCTACTGTTTTTTTGGAGATTTGTTATCCAAGTACTAAACAAGGTCATTTAGCTTCTACATTGAGGAAAGTGCTACTACCTGCTGAGGTTTCATGTTTTTGAACTGTGCTTCCAGTCTCTAGTCATCAAGGTTTTAAAATATTCTCAAGCAGGGTGCAGACTCTTTTTTACTCCTGTAATTGCTCATCTTCCTGAAAATATCAAGAAATCCAATTATCTTTTACAAGTCAATAACCCTTTGTAAAGTTCTTGATTGATTTTGACAAATTTTGTCCTGACAAAATTTAACTTAATTACAGAGAGAAAAAGAGAAAAGAAATTATATTTATGAAACAGGAGGTTCTGTTAACAGGAGGTTAGTAATTGCACAAGGGCTAACCTAGACCTGCCATTAATCCACATTCTATTTATTATGCAACAGACAGGCTAGGGAAGCCTGAGCAGCCATTCCCACCACTTTCTATTTACATAACAAACAAACCAAGAGGCTGGTTAATTGAATTCATCTAATCAACACTCAAGCTTAATTTAGCTCTCATAAAAGAACTCAGGGGAATAAAAAAAAAGGAGAAAGACTTGGAATAAATACCACCATTCTTTTTCAAATTTCTACAGTGTGCTTTCCATGCAGACTGCAGAGATTTATAGTCATGTTGCCTGTCTGAATTCCCACAAGTCATCTAGCAATAACATTCAGAGTTTGACGTATATCAATGCACAGTATCTGTAAGAAATTCGTAGTACTGTACTATGAACAAACTTCCATGGCTTTAGGTGCTATGTTATATTGTATGCTATAATTGTTTCTTTAGTTATCTATCCTGCTTGCAGAAGTTTATTCGCAACCTTCTGATTTCTTCAGACATAGTTAGTATAGGAATTCAATAGAGTAGACCAAGTATTATCTTATGCCTCAATGTCCAACTACATTAGAATTCCTAACTACTAAAATATCAAGAATTACACATTTCCCCCCACCCCAAAGGAACCATCAGATAAAGTGCTACAAGGAGCAGTTCAGTTTCTGATGCTCTCTGCAAGAAAATGTCTACATACTGTACAGTCTGAGGTCGAATGAAAAGACACAAACGCTCAAAATAGCTTAAAACAACAGTAGGCATCTGGTATCTGCAGGTGAACTGCAACTTCCTTCTGTGAGTGTGGAGCCACAGCACCCTTTGATGTGGAGACCTAGGATACATGTACAGATAGTCCTCAACTTACCATCATTTGTTTAGTGACCAAAGTTGTGACAGCACTGAGAAAAGTGTTTTACAAATGGTCTTCACTCTTATGGCTATTGCAGCTTCCCTGCAGTCAAAATCTGGGCACATGGCAACTGGCATGTATTTACCACAGTCGCAGTGTCCTGGGGTCACGTAAGCGCCATTTACAAAATGCCCAGGGGGTTCCAACAAACAAAGTTAATGGGGGAAGTCATATTCACTTAATGACTGCATGATTCACTTAACAACTGCAGTGATTTGCTTAACAGCTGCAGCAAAAAAAGACTACAATGCTGCAAAACTGTCTTAACAATTGTGTGGGTGAGAGCAGAAATCTAAGTAGTCGCTGAATTAATGGAGCTTTGTATATTTTATAAACTTTTTAAACCTGTTCAACCTCCACACTCACTTCCCTTCCCATGGAAAATAATATCTGTAATTTGCACAGGTACATCTAAAAATGAAATAAGTATTCTTATTATATGAAGAGACCCGTCTCTCAAAATGTTACTGTGGCTCAGGAAGGTGTAAAAAATGATAGTGGCTCCCTATGCTGCTGATGCAGAAGGGGTCTTATCTGATATGTGAAGCAACTAGAAGAGAAAATCCTCAACTATTTGTGAAGTCCTTCTAAGCAATTAAAATTGTATTTATCCAAAGCTCAGTGGTGTCATTTTCCAAAAAAGGGAAATTCTTTAAGCCAAATGTCTTGATTCAGCTTTATAGCTATAATTATTCAAGCAGTTGCTTTATATCATTTTGTAGCAATCAAGGCATGCTACACTGAGATGTTGTGGAACTTATATAGTTACAAAAACTAAACTAGTGAGGTAAATCTAGTTAAATGTCATTTAAAAAATGAAGCCTTTTATAATCACTATATTAATGGCTATTTCAAACTCACATTATTTCTCTGAACAAATCTTTTGTTTGGCTATGCGGATCTCTGTTGTTTGCACTGAATGTTCACCAATGCCTGGAAGGAATGTATGGAACAGTTATTAACAAGTGCACACTTGCTCTGATAATATAAAGAATTTAGACTATGTTGTTTGCACCTACATTTAAACCCAGTGGGAACTTTTTATAAAACTTCTGCATGATGCAAAATGCAACATCTGCTTAATTAAATTACAATCTCCCATATACATTTCAGCTATTTTAAGGCAGAACTTTAATACAACTTGGTTTTGGCTCACCAAACTGAAAAAAACATTCACTCTGGTATGTATACTATAGCTATTCTACTGGCATGAGTTTCCACATTGTACGACGTTAAAACCAGCCAAATAACATTACAATTTAACATTATGTACAAGCCAAAACAATTTGGGGCTGTGGATTGTAATGAATGTGGCTTTGGTGATCAAAAAAGCCTACATCCAAACCCATACTAAGGCATAAATCAGATGTAGACTGTCCCAAGTTCATTTGTACCATTGTGTTTTATTTCTATTGTTAAACTTTGGAGTACACTTTGATAATGTGGTGTACGAATGTGCTAAATAAATCTTTTAAAAATGAAATTAATTAATGTAAGAACCTGGACTTACAAAACTGATTTACTTCTAGAAATAAAACGTAGTGCATTCAGGCTAATTTTATACAGACATTTTGAAATAGAAAATTTTGATAACTCTGCAAGTCTCATAGTCATGTAACTGAATCATCATGGGAACATCAGCAATCAGTGAATGGGTGAATAGATGGATGGATGTAGAATATTCACAAATCTCTAAACTTCTCCCGATACAAAATATGAAACCACTAAATCTTCCCTCCCCTTTCTCACAATCCCTTTGTGAACTGCACCCCAGAACATCCAGTACAAATTGCTACATAAAGAGTAAGGCAACATGTTTGATAGTATGGAGATCTGTTCAAGTAAGTTTTTAATAGAGTGCACCAGTGAATGTGAATTAGCATGACTTTCATTAAAAAAAATAAAAGTTTAAAGGAGTACCAGATAAAAAGGAACACAGTTCTTTCTGGCCAAAACATCATCTGTTTCCTAAGGCAGTACATGTTCATTGCTGAGCAGAACTGTTACAGAAGAGCTACATCACAGTACAGTACAGCATCTCAAGTCCATCTGTCAGAAGCCATTCTCAAATGGCACATTTAGCTACACTTACAGCCTTCTAAATTCAGGTTACAGAGTTTACCACATTTTTTTTTGCTTTTTGCTTTTAAATAAAGTGATAATTTGGGGTGATTTTTCTAATCTTTATAGGAGTGTGCAGATGGGGCCATATGTTGAAGTTACAGAAATTACAACATTAAATAACATTGCACAACCAACTGCTATGATTAATTCAGTACAAGATAATATTAAAAATGTACCATATCGTAATGGTTTTGCAGTTTGAATCACTAATTATGAAGGGGTTTTCTTACCTAGGCAACTGCCTGCACACAGCTGCACTTCACAGGTATAATGATTTATAATAAATACAAGAAAGTGGGCAAAATATTCAAAACTCAAAGATACATGGGAACAGAATTTATACAATCACATCAAACAATGTAATAAACAATCTAGGCTTAAAAGTATATGA